ACCTAGGCAGTGGAATCTAATGCAAAAAAAAAAAAAAATTAAAAAAAGTAAATCCATATACAGCAAGGCTAGAGTTGGTTTGACAGTGGAGTAAGTTTTCTCATGCTAAGCATAATTTAGCCTCAGGAACCTGCCATCTTAGCACCTTCTGTACAGAGTGGAGCTAGGCAGATATCTCCAGAGGACAGCAGACACCTAAGTTAAGTTCTCCCAAGTAATGCTTACAGGTGCCTCTGTCTTTTTCTTGGCTACAGTGGTGGAAGAATGCTCTTAGATGCTCATGTCAGTAGCATGGTTTAGCTAATGCACTGGCATCATTTTAAAGCTCACTTCACTGTGAGTTCCCAGCAAAGCAGCCTGCAGATGTTGTGTCTTCTGATGCTTCTTGCCTGAATATCTGTCTCCCCTCTTCCTAAACACGGTTATCCCCCTTCGCCACCAACTCACTCCTGTGTTAAGGCATGGACTGAATGCCACCCAGCTGACAAAAAGCAGATATTTTAACTCCCTGTGTAGTCACTAGAAAGACACGTACAGGAAATGACTTGTTGCACCCTTATCTGTAACCTGGCAGATGAACTGTGCCCTGGAGGGGCTACGTTCTCTCCCCGGGCTGTGAAGGGGGTCCCCACGTCCAGCTCGATGGACACAATGGTGCAGACAGCTGAAGTGTGATGAATCTCACACCTGCTCTGGCAGGGAGGCTGGGCTGGGGACTTGGACTGCAAATGTGGAATTAATTGGAAGAGGGAGCATTAGGAAAGAGGGAGAGTGTTTCCTAAGGCACGGAGAGGGAGGAAAACTAACCCAAGCACAGTGCACTACACAAGAAATGTACAAAGCAGAGAATGGGGAACATTTGTTTTTCTTATTCTGTTGTTTCTGGGTGTTTATAACCTTCTTGGTTCTGTGGTAAAGCCACAGAGCTCAGCTCTTTAAAGGCAACCACGGCACACGGTACGGTAGCAGAACACAGTGTCTGGTTTTGAGAATATCGTACGTGAAAGCCTTGTTTTGGTGTGTGGCATGTGGGTTTTGAATAGGTTTGGCTACATTTTTGCTTAAATCTGTGACTACAGTAACATCCGCCTCTTCGGTATTTTCATCTAAAGGGAAAAACACGTTAGCGAGAAAGAAAACTGTCTTTTTTAAATAGCAGCAGAAATTCAGATCCTTTTCTTTGGCTGGAAATTTCTCATCCTTGCCTTTTGTTGGGTTGGAAGGGCAGCAGAGAATATCCTCCCTGAAAGTAATTGAACTGGACGACAAGCATGTGTCCCAGTCTTGGGTAACAATGAAAAAAAGGCCTGGTGGGACTCTTTTGATTTCAAATGCAGGACTCATCTCGTCTGACTTGTGGTCTTAGCATGGTCATGGAGCTTTTGGCTGCAGCTCTCAAGAGTGGGATGGAATTTATTTGTTAGTGTTGATGATTTTTCTGCCCTTGTAATGCATAAAATATTTTTCCAAAGAAAGTGGAAAGGCTGGATATTCTTTATCTGGGGGCTAGCACTTTACAAATGGGGAACAAAAAGAAAAAGCAGTAGGTGACAGAGAGCTGCTACCCTGGCAGGGCTGAGGAACGGAAAGTCAAGTGAAGAAAGTCATGGAAGGACTTGGGAAATGTGAGTTTTGGAGAAACACTGGAGGAGACGGAGCAAAGCCCCAGTAAACCAGGTTGTTCCAAGACTCAGGACCAGGGTGAGGGGATGGAAACCATGGGTAGGAAACATCCAAAAGCTGGGCTTTGGAGGTACAATTAATGCAATAGGAAGAACAGGAGAGACAAAGCTAAACTCTGATGAAAAAAGCAGGAAGACCAGAATTGTAATACCCTGAAGGCAATAGTGAGCAAAGTCAAGGGTAGTGGCTTTCTAGCAGTAGCTAAAGTGTGGATTTTTTGTTGTGATAAAAGGGAAGGATTAAAGCATCTCTGATGAGGTGGGGGGGAAGATTTCTCCATACGAAGGCAGAAGCAGATACTGCAGGATCTCTCTAACATCTGCTTTTCCTCAGCAGGATCACAATTTTTTAACAATCCTTTTAACAATTTTTTTTTCATTGTAGCTGTATATTGAGTGTATATACACTTTGCTGCTGTAGTTGGAAGGTTTATAAAGGTATTTGCTCTCTGGTTGACCTTACAGGAAACACTTGTATGTGTTTAACAACTCTAATGTATTCTGCATTGCATTTCAAATCCATGGGAGCGAGCACTCATATGCAAGTATAATGGGAAAGAAATTCCTCTCATTTCAGTGACTGAGATCTGGTACCCATCTCGTGTGAATGAAATTCAGTTGAATGAAATTCACACTTCTTTTGTGAGTTTTAATCCTTTCCAGCTTTAACTTGCAAATCTATTCAGTGTATTCCTGGAAGATGAATAGCAAAAGGGAAAGGTGGCAGGAGCACAAACCAGCTTTTATCGTGTGTTTGACCCTCGCTACCATACTTCAAGCCTCCTCCATGCCTGCAGCTTCTAGACACTGCTGCTGTGCAGACTAAATGAGATAAATGTGATGCTCTTCACAAGGAAATCAGCGTTTCTCTTATCCTCTTTAGCACTTGGGTGTAGTTTAATTTTTACTAAATGAAATATCATCCCATGCTTTAGTTTCCCCAGATACATATCAGAGGATGTTGCTTTCTCAAAGCACTTTGAGATCTACCAGTGAAACTGTTCTGCAAAACAAAGGCTTTTTATTTTCTTTTTCCCCTGATGATTTTTATTCTTGATAGCGCATTTCCCCAGAAACCGTCTTGCAAACAATATCCATGGCAGGATTTATTTACAGAACTGAGCTTGCAGTGCTGGGATGATCTGAAAAGACTAAGGCGCAATAATCCAAGTAGCACTCTATGTATCGAGACATAGGTTGATTTTTGGCCAGTTTGACCTTTCCCTTTCCTTTGCTTATGTCTGTTCCCAGGTTTCCTTGTTGAACCCTCTAAGGAATTAAAACCAATAGGTCTTATAGCCACAATACTTCAGGTATCTATACAACAAAAACCCCTAAACTGGTAAGAGGTGGTGTATTATTTGCATAGAGGGTCTGGTCAGTAGGTCGAGAGAGGTTCTCCTCCCCCTCTACTCTGCCCTGGTGAGACCGCATCTGGAATATTGTGTCCAGTTCTGGGCCCCTCAGTTCAAGAGGGACAGGGAACTGCTGGAGAGAGTCCAGCGCAGAGCCACAAAGATGATGAAGGGAATGGAGCATCTCCCTTATGAGGAAAGGCTGAGGGAGCTGGGTCTCTTTAGCCTGGAAAAGAGGAGACTGAGGGGTGACCTAATCAATGTTTATAAATATGTAAAGGGTGAGTGTCAGGAGGATGGAGCCAGGCTCTTCTCTGTGACATCCAGTGATAGGACAAGGGGCAATGGGCTCAAGCTGGAACATAGGAGGTTCCACTTGAATATGAGAAAAAACTTCTTCACGGTGAGGGTGACAGAGCACTGGAACAGGCTGCCCAGAGAGGGTGTGGAGTCTCCTTCTCTGGAGACATTCAAAGCCCGCCTGGATGCGTTCCTGTGTGATCTGATCTAGGTGTCCTGCTCCGGCAGGGGGATTGGACTAGGTGATCTTTCGAGGTCCCTTCCAATCTCTAACATTCTGTGATTCTGTGATATATAAATATTATGTTAAACCATTGAGAGAGACATTGGAAACAAATAGAAGAAGATGAGGAAAGAAGATCTTAGTGCTACAGCGAAGAATGCAATGCTATGCATTTATTCATTCATCAGAGAATTAAATCACACCAAATTGCATAAAATGCAACTGCACCGACACCCCTCCATTTTTTCCGAAAAACAGAAACATTTCTGATAAACGAGACTCGCCAGCAAGAAATCGTACAGCCTGTCCCAGGCACAGTAATACGGAAAGCGCAGTATGGGGGACCTGACTCATCCCAGAACCGATCCTATTTACATTTCTCAGGCTGAGCGTCTCACAGCGATGCTCTCACACACGGCACTGAAACGCTTGCCATGAGCACTGGCACTTCATTAGGCAATGAAAATGCCCCTGAAGGCAAAGGTACAGCGTTTACTGTCAAAATAGTTTAACAAGAATAAAATCACCTGAGGGTTAAGTATTAGTGAAGGTACTTCCTGCGTTAGTGAGTCATGTTCTAAGCAATACAGTCTTCCCTTGAGATGCTCTGTGCCTCCTAAAATTCGCAGCCCTGCTGGAGATGATCCATCAGCAGTCACAGCACCATTGCATCTGAGAACCTGCCTTAGGTTGTATCTGCTCATACTTCTCAACCTGGACACCATCAGCAGATACAGAAAGAAATATCACATTTATGGAGCTCTGAGAATGTAAGATTTTTTTTTTTTTTTTTTTGCCTTTGAACAAAGCAGTTTAAATTCAAATACGCTAATGTATCACCAGATCATTTCTCAATGCACACACTTGTCACAATAAAGAAGCCAAATATAAGCGGTATCACAATGTATAAATGTGTAAAATCATGCTGAATGAATTAGCTGCCTCTGTTCACAGTTTATAGGCACTACTGGTTGGGAGGCGTGGCTGGAAGAATACTTGGTATCTATAGTACCCATAGCAAAGTTGGATGGCACCTTTTACCTAATAGCATTGCTATCAGTTTTACCTACGGAGGTGCCGACATTTCAATGTCTATTTTTATATTTCCTAAAGTTACATGCAAAATGGAAAAAAAAAAAAATTCAAAGAGCTACCTGAGGTACACAAGGCTTCTTTGATCTGCCCACTGTGCCAGCGGTGGGTTGGAGGATACATACATTACTCAGACAAAAACCATCCCGTAGTGCTCTGGATTGTCGGCAGTTGATGGTTTGTGGGCACAAAACCCATTTCTCTCATTTCCTTAGAATAATAAATTCCTTAGCTCTTAACATCTTTCCTTACCTGAAAGCAGTCAGGATGTTGCGAACATCCTCCAGCAACCACCACAAAAAAGCAAATCGTATCTTCCCTCCCCAAAAGGCAGAAATAATCTTTTACCTGGCTTGTTCCCCTTGACAGATCCAACCAAGAGCCACATCAAAAGGCACTTGAGCTCCATGGGACTTGTTCACATCTTTTCTCCACGACAGTGACGATGGTTTCTCAGAAGTGATGGGCTGGTGCCGACCAAGCCAAGGAGCTGTCTACTGCCCGGTTAGACTGGTGGGGAGCATCACCCTGCCTGCGCAGCAAGGACTTCGCTCTTTGGTCAGCAAATCATCGTTTCGCTGGCTGGCTTCAGAAGAATGAACAAAGGCTGCTCTCTGTACAGGTATTAGTAGCTTTTAATCCAGGAAATAAAACTTAATGCTCAGTGTGGTGGAGCGTGCCGGCGTGTGTAGGAAGTGGTTTGACACATCAGAGCTACTGGCTCCAGAGCTGTTCCACTACAGCTGAGGTCAGTACAAGGGGGCAAGATTTTAACAGGTTTGTGCAGCCACTTGACCCCAAATCTGTGGCTGGACAGGCAATTGAGAGGGACCATCGCTGTAGAATAGTTGTGCAGTGTATGACAATGGACCTCAGACACAATCTGTGGGTTCTACCTACAAAGAAAAGGTCCCATGAGGTATCGTTTTGGCTTTTTGGTGGTCTTCTGCTAATGATGCTAAAGCCATGCTCCATTTGGTTTTTTGGTGTATGTATGTTTGCAGTTTCTCTGAGTGACAGCTGAGCTTCTGAAGGATGGACAGTTTGAAGAAAAAAATCAGTGAGGATGATGCTGGCAGGTTTGGAAAGGGCTTTGCCATTGTTATTAGAGAATTAGTTGGGATAGACCTTGGAAAAACATCTAAATCATTGGTGGTAATCTGTCAGGATTATTGCATGCTGGACATGTACTTCTCCATTGTAAATCCTTAATGAATTAAGTCTTCTAACAGGTATGCTAAGAAACAGATGTGATACATTCTCAAATGCCACTACAGCTGCATCCATCAGTCATAGCCACAGACAGAGGATGCTGTATTAGTATCTCTGCTCCTCACTATCAGAGGCTCTTCTGTCCTCACACCCGTAAGGGTGATGGTCCTATGAAAGGCAGCTGACACAAGGGAGCTTCTTTTGAGTGAGACCCAAACCAGACCTTTTTGGGGTGGTGAATTGTGATGGGTTTGCTCTTGGTTGGGGGCCAACTCACACACACCCGCTCACCCAATCCCCGCCCCCCCCCAAGCATGGGGGAGAGAATTAAAGGGGTAAAGGGGAGAAAGGACTCGTGGGTTAAGAACAATTTAATAACTAAACTACAGTAATATTGAAAATAATATTATATACAAATGCACAAATGAGTGATACACAGTGATACTGCCCTCCCCACTCAATGACCAAGGCTCAGCCTGCACCCGGCTAATGATCCCGGAGCAGGGAGAG